CGTAAGAGAATCGGTAAATTCTATTCTGGTCTAGCGACAAACTATGCAGTTGTGATTGGTGCTAAACCTGGTGATCGTCGGTACTTCAGAGGACGCGTTGCCTGTATGCAAGTATTTGGCAGAGCGTTGTCAGCAGCTGAAATCAGAATGCGAATGAGGACATGCTTTAGACCGCGTCCAACCGTAAAACCATCAACCACACGCCCTCCAGGTAACGTAGTCATGTGGACTGTCTTCATGTAATAACAGTATTTATTTCTTTTTTTTATTGTTCCTTCTCATTTTTTTAACCTTGTTGATTCTAGTTTGTGCATCAAGAGTTGATCTTGGCTTCTTGTTGGACGGTTCGGGAAGCATCATCCGCCAAGCTAAAGGCAACTTCAGACGTCTCATTACTTTCATGAAGGTGTTCTTGAGTTTGTTCCCCTTTAGGGGTGGACAAACTAGAGCTGGTGTTGTCCTCTTTTCCACCAGAGCACATTTGTTATTTGGTTTTAACCGATACAAAAATAACAAGAGCATATACCGAGCTTTAGACAGGATAAGATATCCTCATGGTAAGACCTATCTAGGCCGCGGGCTTAACTTCGCTGGAAGACGCCTATTTAGAGGAGGTCTTAATAGAGGTCGTAAAAGGTTCCTCGTGGTGTTAACTGATGGTATATCTGTGGATTCTGTACTTCGTCCCTCGGCTATGCTCCGTAGGAAAGGAGTAGAGGTAGCAATGGTTGGTGTCGGTCGAAGGCTAAGACGTAAGCAACTTTACCAAGTGGCTTCAACAAGGCGACACGTGTTTGTTACTGGATTTAGGAAATTATTACTAGGCTCTATGCTGTTCCCTTTGAAGGGATTAGCATGTAGTCCGTTCAAGCCAAGTAAGTTTTGATTTCTATTTATTCATATGTATGCATACTTGTACTCCCTGTATAACGACGTAACTGATAAAGGTTTAGAGAGAGAGTAAAGACAGGAGAAGCCCCTATAAAAGGAGTAATTTTTGAGGTAATATTTTTATTCATGTCTTTTATTTACATTATCTTTCAGCTGCTGCACCAACAAGTGGACCATCTGGTAAGTGGTAATATATTATAATTTGATATATATTAGATTTGCATTCCCATGAACCTTCATCACGCGGCTGCCATGAGAATAAAAAACTTTGTTTCACCCGTATAAATTTATTCTCAAGCACTTGAATGCGAGACCACTTGTAGTGGAATCTATTATGCAAACCAACATGGCTACCGCGCGAGAAAGGCGTATGTATTTACAGTTGGTATACAATTGCGTATCGATAGACTGATCTGTGATGTTATTTATTCATTTCCAGGATGCCAGAAAAGGATTGATATCGTATTTGCTGTTGATGGTTCAAGTAGCGTCGGTAGACGAAACTTCCAACGCATGAAGACCTTGCTCAGACGAATTGCTCAGAGCTTCCACATCTCACGAACCACCAGCCGTGTTGCTGTTATAGTCTATTCTTCACGAGTTAGAGTCGCATTCAACTTCAATCGCTATACAAATGGAAAAACCCTTGACGCTGCGCTCCGAAGGCTTACATATCCACGGGGAGGAACTAGGACTGGATTGGCTATGAATAAAGCTATGCAGTTATTCAAACGCGACAAAAGAAGAAGGAAAGCTTTAGTGATTATCACTGATGGAGAACCCGGTGACGATGTAACTCGTCCTAACCAGCTGCTCAAGAAGGCAAAGGTCGAGATCTTTGCTGTCGGAATTGGTAGACGAATCAGTGAAAGGAATCTGAGAAAGATTGCCACTGATGGAAGACATATCTACATGGCAACTTTCTCAAGCCTGCTTAAAATTGTCAATTCCCTCAAGACAAGAGTCTGTACTGGTAATGCCTTAGTTTTCTTTGTATTTTTCACACTCGTTTCATCGAAATAAGAACTCATGTATGCGCTCCTAAATGGCTGACACTGACCTCGTGATCTGACCTACATTTCGTGTACTCCATCAAGGCTGAAAAACGTATGCGCATGCGTCAGATTGTCAAGAAAACAAACATGGCCGATGGAACATTTTGCATCAATACGGTACATAAATCGAGGTTTTCTGGTTAAAAAATATTTCTGTACAAAAAATAAAGAAACGTTCTACGTACGATAAAAAGCAAACCTTACGCATTGATTGGTAGATTAAAATAACATTTGAGTATCAATTTTAAAGAAGCAAATTCGATGGTCTGGTATCAGCCTTTGTTCTGCGCATTTTCTTTACCTGTCAAGACATTATCAACCACGCTGATTCATACTTGCATTTTATCTTTATTCAGGTTTCACTCCAATCATTCCTACCAAAGCACCATCCACGAAGCCTACTAGAAAACAAGGTAATAGTTCATTGATTACGTTGACACTTAACTAGTTTTATTTATTAACCATCATGTGTTGTCTTTGAAGGATTTCCTGATCCCATTGCTGTGTTTCCATTGGACATCATCTCAAAGACACGTGATACTAGCCGAGGCCGTAATTCACCGGGCGTTCCATTGCGCATTCGTTACTATCCGGGACCGTATGGTAGACCTAACAAATCAACTTACTTCTATGGTGGAGCAACATCGGTTATCCTATTCCCTAATAATGGCAACTTGAAAGCTAGAGATTCCATAACATTGATCGCTTGGATTTATCCTGAATCTGGTGGACAAATCTTTGAATACAGCAAAGGAGTGAGATTAATCGTCAGTAGAGGTGACACTCTTTATTTCCAGGTTGATCGAAAACAACCTGCAGTCAGAGTAAAGAAATTACGAAGAAGACAATGGAATTACGTGGCAGCAACATATAACTATAGGACTGAGATGGCTATCCTTTGGTATGATTCGATACCAGTTGCACATAGACGAATCCTACGTAGACGCCTTCAGACCCAACGGTCTGTCAGCATGGGACGTTACTTTAAAGGACGAATCATGTGTATGCAGGTGTATAATGTTGCCCTTCATAGAAGACAGATTGAAAAATTGAAACATTTATGTACCACACCAGGTGAGTTATTGCTGTGTTTCAGTCACCTTTTAAAGTTTTGTTTAATATCTTATATAAGGTATCAATGATTGTATTTGTTTTGCAACTAAAGATGTCAGTATGCGTATACTGCCGAAACATGTAACTTGTTTGGTAAAACCTGATTAACGTTTTTGATTCGCATTGTCTGCTTCAAATGGTGGTCAAACACTGACTATCATATACTATCAGCCAATAGGAATTTTTGCACAAAAAAGCCAGAACTAAATTACTTCTAATGAAATCAAGCAACATTTTTACGCGGCAGCCATGTTGGTTTGAACAAGAGATTCCACCACACGTAGCCTCGCATCTAAGTGCTTGAGAAAAAAATGTATACGCGTTAAATCTTTTTTTTAAATTTTCATGAGAATAAACATGCCAGCCATTTGATAGTTTCATTGTTTTGTTGTATATTTTTTGTCGTCTTTCAAAGCTAAAAATATATAATTTAATCGTAATCGTAATTAATTGCTAATTAATTTGTCTTAAATGCGTCTTATGAATTTCCCCAAAAATAACAATCGTCGTTTTTTTCCCTTTAAAACTAGGCCCAACAACGAAGCCTTCACCTACACGCGGTAAGTTTTTGCCTGACAACGGTTTTTACTTTTAATTTCATTTATATAATTTTAATTTTCCAATATTGATCCATCAGGACTGCCGCCAGCTTTAGCTTTCTACCCTCTAAACTCTCGATATGGTGGCCGTGACATAAGCCGTAGCCGTAATCCACCTGGACGTATGGCTAATATTCGTCCTGGTATTGGACCAGATGGTATCCCTGGAGGCTCAGTCAGGTTTAAAGGACGAACCAACAGTTATATTGAGTTCCCTAACCGTGGAAAGCTCTCCGCGAGAAACTCCATTACCCTTCTTGCCTGGATCAACCCTGATGGTCCTGTTGGCCCTATATTCAACTATAAGACAAACGGCTTTGGCGTTCACTTCTGGATGACCCGTCCTAGAGAATTATTTGCCAGATTCGTAACCTCAAGGGGATCCTTTACCACGCCCTTAAAGTCAAGAAGAATACGTCTCAGGGCGTGGAATTTCGTCGGAACTACTTATGATCACAGATCTGGAGTCGCTCGTTTGTATATCGACAATAAAGAAGTTGCTAGAAGAAGAATTGGCCGAATAAAATTATCGACTAATTTCCCTGCTAGAATGGGAGCGAGGATCGGAGACAATAGAGCATTCCGTGGTCGTATTGCGTGTATGCAAGTCTATGATACTGCATTGACCATTAATCAGATGCGATTGGCCAAAAAACTGTGCTTCAAGACAAGTAAGTATGAGACATTATGAGGTTGAGAAAAAACCTGGGTCGAGTTTGCATTGCAGTGCATTGTGGGGCTTTTAGAGGACATATTTCCAAGATGGCTTCTATTTCGTCCCCAAAAACATTTTAGTCGTGACTGTGAAAAAAAGCCGTGTTAAGGGCATGTCGTAATTGTGATGATGCCTTTTTTTCATTGGATGAATAGTCTTCTCAAGCACTGTCATTGGATATAATAATGATTAAACTAACTTTAATTAACTGATTTTCTAGAGCCTTTCACAAGACCTACACCATCAACCAGACCTACAACAACAAGAAGACCATTATCACGTAAGTAAAACGAAGAAGAAATATGATTAAATGCAATGTTGTATCAAGTGAATAATCAAAACTGACTAGTACAGATGTGAATTCCTGACAAAAAATATTCCGTCATTACCACCCACGTTAGTTTAATAGAAGCTTCTATTTGTTGATTCGTTTGTTTTACAATAGACCAAATTACCGCTATGTTCCTTGATTACAGACTCATTTACTCAGGCTTAGCCTCGATTTTGTGAAGAATATTCACGTGTTCCAGTCAAGGTCCGTCAAGTTTCAAAGTGCTCGTATTGTTGAAGTTGTTCATTCTTTACTTTACCGTTTGTATTTGATAATAATTAGACACTGATTCGAGGCCAAGCCTGAGTAAATGAGTCTGTAATCAAGAAACACAGCGGTAATTTGGAACTTGAAACTGGACTATTGATTATGACTTTCGTGTCTTAGATATTTAAATCTTTTGGTAAAACTACAATCAAAAGTAGCAAAACTAAAAACTCTAATTTATTATTCACTGTTCTTCCTCAGGCTGCAATGCTGACATTGATCTTGGTTTTGTTATCGACGCATCAACTGGAGCCTCCACACGAAACTTCAAACGAGTAATAAGCTTCGTGATGTCACTAGTGAGGTCATTCAAGATATCTAGAAGCAAGACTCGTGTAGGTCTTATTGTCTACACCTCAAGAGTCTACACTAAGTTCACATTCAACAGGTTCGTTTACTCTTTTATTGTTGTTGTATGAGTTAAGTTTAGTCTTCTATTTTGATACTCGAAATTTTCGTCCAATAACATTCTAGCCTAAGGTCATGTCATATTTATATTTTTATGCTGATTTTTGGTAATTTTCTTTTCTTTTCTTTTCTTTTCTT